AGGAACCGGATTCTGAAATTTGCAGAGAGGATGGGTCCCCTAGTTTCTCATCACAGGTAACCTTCTGTTGGAGCTCCTCTTCTGCTGTCCTACTCTTCTTCCTGCCCTGAGTTGTAGTAATCCTAGCGCTGGCTCCAGTCCAAACTCATGGATGTATAAAGCAGAGTCTAATTTAGATTCATATGTGGTTGGAAAATTGTACCAACCACTAGGGTACACTAGGCTAGGGTTATTGTTCCTGAAGAGAAAAATATGGTTGTGTGCTGCAGTGTGCAGGAGGGTTGGTGTGGGAGGAGGGAGGGAGGAAGGGAGGACGCACAAGCAGCCCTGGTGAGAAAAGCACTGGCGGCATCGATGTCCACGTGAAATGATGTTGTTCTTTAGCTGCCACAAAACAGCATTTACCCCGACGCTACATTAATAAAAATATTGGCTTTAGAATAGGGAGGTGCTCTACAGTGATCCTTCATTCCACTGACATTTGTTGTCTGCTAGGGATATGACTGCTTTTGCATTTAGAAAGCATCATTAAAGTAAAAACAGAAAAATTGCTGGCGTTGTGGTGCATACATTCTAGATGCAAGCTTGTCCAACCCGCGGCTCGTGGGCTGAATGTGGCCCAGGACAGTTTTGAATGTGAGGAGTTTTTGATTCTCTGTGGCAGACCTGAATCCTGGAATGAGTGCATCCGCCTCCTTCAGGATCAGGAGTGAATGCTTTAGGAACACTCCTTTGCAGTGACCTGCAAAGGACAGAAGGCACGGTTACTCTGAGAACCCAGCCTAGCAGCCAAGGGGGCTTGGCCCTCAAGGAGTTGTGGGGAAGGTTAATAAAAGGTGGTGTCTCAGGGTCAGAATAGATGGGCGGCCAGCGAGGGCACTGCTTCGTATCTATGATGAGAATGCAAGAATTGAGGAGCAGGAGGCTGAAGGTGTTTGACCAAATACAAAGTCATGATCCCAGTCTCAATTCCTAGACTTCAGTTAAGCTTCAGATTCAGAATCCACAGTGGGGCTTAAGGAGGCCAGGAAATAAACGTGGACACACTATGGCCCACAGTGGGACCACTGGGTCCATAAACCCAGTCCTGGTTATCTCCCCATTCCCCACATGCATAATTGGCTTTCATGCACTGGCAACTTTGGTCACCCCCACACTGCGTCCCTAGTCTGGAGAGTAAGGACTGTCATTGTACTGAAGCCCAAAGGGAATCCTCTAAAACTTCCCTCATCCCAGCCAAGCCAAAAGCAATATTGTGCCCCAGGGTGGGACTTGTGGAGGGTACTGCAGGTATTGTAGGGGTAGCACTGCCATTAGAGAGCTGAAGGATGGGGGGTGGTGTTGGGATTGCCTATTATCTCCACATAATTCAGCAATCTGTCCCTGAAGAAGCCTCATAGAGAGTGAATGGAATTTCTCCAGACTTGACCAAGTAGGAGTCCTGATTGCAGCTGCCATGCTGGCTGGACATCACTGCTTGGGGAGATTAATAATGCCTCAGTCACATGGCAAGCAGCTGTAGATTTGGTGAATGCATTCCCTCCCATTTCATTTAGAAAATCAATATGGAATGATTCACATTCACATGGGATTTATAATGCATTTATTGATAGCTTGCCTCAGGGCTACCTTAACTACTCAACCTTCTATAAATATCACCTTAAGAGACATGGGCAAATCAAATATCTCACAGAATACTAAATCTGCTCATTTCATTGGCAATATTACATAAATAGGGATGGATGAGCAAGAGGAGGAAAGTACACTGAATTCCTTGGCAAAGCATGAACTACAGAAGGTGAAGATAAACCTTACAGAACTTCAAGAGTGGCCACTGCAGTGAAGTGTTATGGGTCCAGTGGTTAGGGGCATGCAGGGCTCTCCCCTCCAAAGTAGAAGACACACTTGCATCTTGCATCCTCACCAGAAGGAAGGACGCACACTGCCTGGTGAGCCTCGCTGGGTTCTGGCAATGCCACATTCCACATCTAAGTATATTGCTTTGGCCCACACTCTGGGTGATATAGGAGGAGGCCAGTTTTGAGTGGGGCCTGGACAGGAAAGGACATTGTAGCAGACCCAGGCTGTGGTGCAGTCAGTCACCATCCCTCAGACCCCTGGTGCTGGAGGTGGCGGTGTGGGGAAAGATGCAGGATGGAGCTGAACCAAGCATCAGTGGGAGTCAGAATGGAGGGCCTGGGATCTGATGGATTCATGGAGTAAGGCCATGGAATCCACAGCAGAGAAACATGCTCCCTGTTAGAAGTAACTTTTAACATGTTCCTGGCCCTGATAAGATAGAATTCCTGATCATGGGACACAAAGCAACCATGTGATTCCAAGTGCCCATGTGTATTGGCTTCTATGTGACCCACAGAGGCATGGATGGGACAGACCCAGTGGCATCTATCATGAGATGAAAATGGTCCATGTGGGTTGAGCCTCAATTCCATGTTAACACCCACAGAAAACACCCAGCCCTGACATGGCCCTGAATAAGCACACAAACTGAAGACAAATTGAAATTAGCCAGCCGGCATCACGGATCAGCCCAGGTCTGACAGGAAGGACTGATAAGTGGATAACCACAGTGGCAGGAATGAGGCTACAAGTGGGTCCAGAAGCACCGACTCCCCACTACCAAGGACCATCCAGCTGCTGCTTCCTCTGAATACTCTGATTGTAAGCACTATAGACCAATGATGGACCCCATAGGGCAGTATTTCTTCAGGTAACTCACTAGCCCCTAAGTGACAAGTTGAATAGCTTGAACCCCATCTACCCTGGAAGGGCCAGGGGTTCATCCTCACAGGGATAGGCACCTATTCGATACCTGTTTAACTAATTGCCTCCCTAAGTTAAACAGGTTAAAAAAGAATACTAAGTGTCCCAATAAAATATGCACATAGCTTAGATGTGAATAATTCATACAAATAGGCAGGTGCAGGGGTCAGCCACTGTGGCTCATGCCTGTAATAACAGCATTGTGGGAGGCTGAGGATCGCTTGAGCCCAGAAGTTTAAGACCAATCATAGCAACATAGGGAGACCTCGTCCCCGCAAATATTTGTTTTAGAAAAATTAGCCAGGAGTGGTGGCACAAGCCTGTGGCGCCAGTTACTTGGGAGGCTGAGCGAGGAGCATTGGTCGCATGATCCCAGGAGGTCGAGGCTTCAGTGAGTCATGAGCGTGCCACTGTACTCCAGCCAGGGTAACAGAGTGACACCCTGCCTAAAAATAACTAAATAAATAATAAATAAAGGCGATGCATGAGCACTGGTGAAGGGCACTTTGGGTGCATTGAGCACTTGCAATTTTGAGGTGATTAAATTCTGTCCAGGCTCCTGGTTGCACCATACGGTAACACATTGTGCTTTGTGTTGCAATGTCCTGGACTCGCACACACAAACTCAGGGCTATGAAATAAAGATAATGTAGTAATACAACAGACCAGAGTCACAGATACATAGTCTGGGGAAGTAAAACTTTGTGAGTCTAATTGCAATGCGTTTAGACACATTTTTATGTAAAGGGCTCAAAAATCACCTCTTTTACAAATTAGATTCGTGATCACTCAGGGTTTACCAATATTGGGCTACCCACTGTAGCAAAATCGGAGACCCACCCAGAGGCTGCGGGAAACGCGGAGACCCTCAACCCGATAAGAACCCCAGGCGTCTATACCCGATTCTATTTTCAGTTAAGGTCCAAATCCCCGGGGGTTGGTTGGGGTAGAGGCGGGGCTCAGTGGCAGCGATCGCGGGGACAGGGTCTCACACCCTCCAATGGATACACAGCTGCGACCTGGACCCAGAATGGAGCCTCCTCCGCGGGGATGAACTTACCCTACATGGCGCCAGTTACCTCGTCCTAAACCAGGAACTGCGCTCTAGGACCGCAGCGGACAAGGCGCTCAGATGCTCTGGCGGAGGAACACGCAGAGGCCCTCAAAACCTACCTGCAGGGAAGGTGGGCGGAGTGACTCAGCAAAGGCCTTAAGAATGGGAAGGAGATGCTGCAGTGCGCAGGTACCAGTGGCCATGGGGCGCCTCCCTGATCTCCTGCAGATCTCCCCGAGCCACCTTCCAAAAGAAGGGGAGGAAAATCGGACCAACGTTAAAATATCCCTCTCCCACTTGTCCTGAGGAAGAAGAGTCCTCCTGAGTTTCATATCTTATACCAGAGAGTGACTGAGGGCCCGCCCTGCACTCTAGGACAATTAAAGGATGAAGTCTCCCAGGGAAAGGAGGGGAAGACAATCCCTGGAATACTTATCAGCTGTCCCCTTTGACACCGCAGCAGCCTGGGGCACTAGGAAGTTTCTTCTCAGCCTTTGTTATCTGCCTCACACTCAATGTGTATCTGTTGGTCTGATTCCAGCTCTTCTGAGTCCCACGGCCTCTACTCGGGTCAAGACGAGAAATCTCTGTTCCCGCCTTAGACATTAGAACTTCCCAAGGAATAGATTATCCCAGGTGCCTCTGTCCAGGTTGGTGTCTGGGTTCTGTGCTCCCTTCCCCACCCCAGATGTCCCAGCTATTCTCAGGATGGTCACATGGGCACTCCTGGAGTATCCCATGAGGAATACAAAGTGCCTGAATTTTCTGACTCTTCCCCTCAGATACCCTAAAGACACACGTGACTCACCACCCCATCTCTGATCATAAGGCCACCCTGAGGTGCTAAGTCCTGGGTTTCTACCCTGTGGAGATCATACTGACCTGGCAGTGGGATGGGGAGGACCAAATCCAGGACACAGAGCTTGTGGGGACCAGATCTGCAGAGTACAGAACCTTCCAGAAGTGGGTAGCTGTGGTGGTGTCCTCTGGAGAGAAGTAGAGATACACATGCCATGTGCAGCACGAGGTGCTTCCAGAGCCCCTCATCCTGAGATGAGCTAAGGAGATGAATGAGGGGTCATGTCTCTTCCCAGGGTAAGCAGAAGCCTTTCTGGAGCCCTTCACCAGGGTCAGGGCTGAGGCTTGAGGGTCAGGGCCCCTCACATTCGCCTCCTTTCTCAGGGCCATCCTTCCAGCCCACATTCACCATCGTGGGCATCGTTACTGTCCTGGTTGTTCTTGGTGCTGTGGTTCCCACAGCTGTGGTCGCTGCTGTGATGTGGAAGAATAAGAGCCCAGGTAGGAAAGAGGTGAGCTCCGAGTTTTCTTCTTCCATTGGTGGATTTCAAGCCCCAGATGGAAGTTGGCTCATTTCCTGCCTAGTTGTAAGGCACCATCTCCATGCACATTTACCCTGTTCAGATGCCCTGTCAACTCTTGCTCTTTTGTAAAGCACCTGTGATATGGAAGCACAAATTTATCACCTTGATTGTGGTCATGGGAACCTGACTCCCAGCAGTCACAGATCAGGAGAAGGTCCCTGCTGAGGACAGACGTCGGGAGGACAATTGGTCCAGCTTCAACACTTCCTCTTTCCTTGGGTTTCCTGATCCTGACCTGGGTCTGCAGTCACAGTTCTGGAAAGTCCTCTGGGATCTCACGGCCCTGCCTCCTCCCTGGCCTCTCACGGTTTGTTTTCTTTCCACAGATGGAAAAGGAGGCAGCTATGCTCAGGCTTCATGTAGTGTGGTAGGGGTGGGAGAGTGATCCCTGAGATCCTTGGGATAGTGTAGACAGGAGCCCATGGGGGAGCTCACCCACCCCACAATTCCTCCTTTAGTCACATCACCTGTGAGCTCTGACCAGCTTTTGTTTTTATTCCAACCCGAACAGGAACAGTACCCAGGACTCTGATGTGTCTCTCAAGGCTTGTAAAAGTGACACCTTAGAGGGCCTGAAGTGAAGGAGGAGCTGGGGCAGATGGGACACAACTAGGCTCTGGAGATTCTTTGATTTGAATTTTTCAATGTGTGGTGGGATGTTCAGTGTCACCACTTACCATGACTGACTTGAATTTGTTCATGACTATTTTTTTTCTAAGACTGCCTTGTGAGGGACCGAGATGCAAGATTTGTTCATGGCTCCTCTTTGAGACTTCAAGGGCCTCTGGCTTCTCTTTCTGCCAAGGCGTCTGAATGTGTCTGTGTCCCTGGTAAAAGGTGAGAAGTGGGGAGACCAGCCCACCCTCATGTCCACCATGAGCCCTGATATCATTTGGATCTGTGTCCCCACCCAAATCCCATGTCCATTTGTAATCCCTAATGTTAGAGGTTGTGCCCAATGGGAGATGATTGGCTTGTGGGGATAGATCCTCCATGAATGGTTAAGAACCATATCTTTGATGCTGTTCTTGTGATAGTTCTCACAAGATCTGGTGTTTGAAAGTGTGTGGCACCTCCCTGCTCTCTCTCCCTCCTGCTCCAGACATGTCAGTCATGCCTGCTTCACCTTAAACTTTCAGCATGATTGAAAGTTTTCTGAGGCCCTCTCAAAAGTTAAGCAGATGCCAGAATCATACTTCCTATATAGCCTGCAGAACCATGAGCCAATTTAAACCCTTTATAAGTTACAAACTCTCAGGTATTTCTCTGTAACAGTGTGAGAATCAACTAATTCAGAAAGTTGGCACCACGAGTTGGGTATTGCAGTAAAGGTAGCTGAAAATGTGGAAATGGCTTTGGAACTGGGTAACAAGCAGAGGTTGGAAGAGTTTGGAGAGTTCAGAACACAGGAAAATTAGGCAAAGAGACATGACCCCATGTTGTGACCAAAATGCTGATAGTGATATGGACAATAGAGTCCAGGCTGATGAGGTCTCAGATGGAGATGAGGAACTTACTGGGACCTAGAGGAAAGATCATGTTTATTATGCACTGGCAAAGAACTTGGAGGCATTCTGCTCCCTCCCTAGGGATCTGTGGAACTTGGAACCTGAGAGTGATGTATAAGGGTATCTGATGGAAGAAATTTCTAAATAGCATAGCATTCAAGATATGGCCTGGCTGCTTGTAATAGCCTATGCACATATGTGTGAGCAAAGAAATGACCCAAAACTGGAACTGATATTTAACGGGGAAATTTAATACCTGGGACAATTCCTAGTGGAGTTGCAGGAGCAGGACCCCTGCCAGGACTACTTAATGGTAGAGCCACTGGCAATGTGCAACCTCAACCTGGAAAACCATAGGCATTCAGTTTTCACCCATGAGAGCAGCTATATGGGTTATGTTCAGCAAAGCCATAAATGTGGGGCTACAAATGGCATTATGAGCCCAGGACTTGCACCAGTCAATGTGCTCAGGATTCAAAATATAGAGTCAAAGGAGATTATTTTAGAGCTTTAAGTTTTAATGTCTGCTATGATGAGTTTCAGCCTGTGAGGACACTGCATTCATTTCTTTTCGCCCATTTATTCCTTTTGGAATGGAAATGTATAAGAAATGTCTCTTCCACTGTTGTATTAGTATTTTATAATTAAATAACTTTTTTTTAATTTCATAGGCTCAAAGTTATAAGAACTTACCTTGAATCTCAGATGAGACTCTGGAATTTTGAGTTGATGCTGGACAACCTAACACATTTGGGACAATTGGGAGAAAATTATTGTATTTTGCAATGTGAGAAGAACACGAGCTTTGGCTGACTAGGGACAGGATGCAGTGGTATAAGTATTTATCCCCTGATACCTCATGTTAAAATCTGATGCCCATTGTGGGATGTGGGGCCTAATGGGTGGCGTTTGGGTCATGGGGACCAATATTTTATGAACAGAGAGATACTGCCCTCTCTATGGAGTGAATGGATTGTTGCTCTCTTATTTTCCAAGACAGTCAGTTGTTAAAAAGCGCCTGGCAACTTCCTACTCTCTCTGTTCCTCTGTTACCATGTGATCTCTGCACATAGGAGATCCCCTTTGCCTTCTGCCATGAATGGGAGCAGCCTGAGGCCCTCACTAAATGCTCAAACATTTCCAGACATCAGAATCCTGAGCCACATGAACCTTGTTTACATAAATTAGTCAGTCTCAGACATTTATTTACAGCAACACAAAATGGAATAAGACAACGTTCTCATCACAGGTATGTGTCTCTGGCAGCCAGTCCCCATTCTCAAGATATCCAGGATCCGCTCAGTCAAGAGTCCTCTCATCAGTACTCTAAAGACACTCTTATCACTCAAGAGTCTAAGGTTTTTAGGAGAAACCAGGGACAAAGATTACATGTTTTTGTTATACCTCAGAATACGTGTTTTTCTTTGACCACATATCTTTGATAGGAAAGGTATTATAACAGTAAAGAGGTATTGACATATTATCAGAGTCTCATTCAGTCATTCAGAGTTAGGCCAGTTTATCATCCTCTTGTATGAATATGTCTCCCAGAATGAAGTCACTCTGCTTTGCAGACAACAATCTTACCAGGTTCCAAAAACAAGAATGGTTTCAGGGACATATGGCTTCACCTTTTTAGGCATCCAGTATAACTGACCTAAGAGACAATGTCTTCTCTTGCTCACACCACTTTTGAGGAGTTAAGCTAATATTGAATTTTCCTCATTATATAATCCTTTGATTTATTCACTTACCCCCAGCCACTATCCCTCCTTCTGTCCCTTTATATCAGTCTCTTCCAGTTTTGGAAGTGACATTAGGTTTGGCTGCTGTGCTGGCCTAGACTGCAGGCAGCGATAGTATTCTAGAATGTCTTCCCTCAGTCTACTCTTGATCATAGAGAGTAGGTTACATAGGTTAGGAACCAGTGCAGGCCATCTGACCACTAGGCTGCATAGCTCTACTTACAGTTAATCCTGACTTTGTCAGATGAAATGAAGGCACACCACAATCCTTGAGTTGCTTGGGGATTCTTACATACAGGTGTAAAAATACAGTTATGGTTTTTTGCTTAGGGATAGTTCCGGTTTCTGGCACTTTTATTTCCATCCCTATTCCTGGTGCCACTGCATCACCTATGAAAAAAGAAATTTGAAGTGAAGCGTAGTCATTATTCCAGCATTCTCTCTCCTTAGGAAGAATTGTATGTATAGTCATAACAGCATCGTCCTGATTCATGAGGACAAAGAGGGGAAGCTACCTAGAGGAGTCAGTCTTGCAGCCCCACCCATGTTGACAGTGAGCACATTCATAAAGATATAAAAGCCAGCCAGTCCTTCATGTTTATATTGCCCAACAATTATATTGACAGGTTTTAGACAACCAATGTTTTAATTGACCATTTCAATATTCCATCAAAGTTTTCCCCTGAGGAGGACATCTCCTTGTGCATTGTTGGCCGTTTGAGGTTGTAAAGTGTGTTTTCTTGTAAAAAAAAAAAAAAAAAAAAAAGTGACTCAGCAGTCCAAATTGGTGCAATCCCTTTTTTTCTGGTTCTTCTCTAGACCTTGAAGCATTGACATCTGCCCCTGGTTGAGCATAGCCCAACCCAGGGTCAGTGACTTTCCTGTTAAGATCCATTGGCAGCTCCTTTGGGATTGCTGGCATCAGTCTGGCTTGCCAGCGATGAATGATCAAAGCCACTAGAGAATCTGTCACAGAGCCATCTGCTGCCTCTGTCTGTTTTCTTGACAAACAGTCAAAACAGAGATTATGAGAAATGAGATAAATTACCAAAATTGTGAACAAAAGAGATTATCACTAATGACCCTTAGAATTTAAGAAGCATTATAAGTGAATACTTTGAAAAATCTGGAGCCAATAAGTTAGACCACTTAGATAGAATGGATACATTAATACAAAGACAGAAATTGCCAAAACTGGCCGGGCATGGTGGTTCACGCCTAATCCCAGCACTTTGGGAGGCCGAGGCAGGTGGATCATGAAGTCAGGAGATCGAGACCATCCTGGCTAACACAGTGAAACCCTGTCTCTACTAAAAATACAAAACAAATTAGTCGGGCCTGGTGGCGGGTGCCTGTAGTCCCAGCTACTGGGGAGGCTGAGGCAGGAGAATGACTGAGCCCAGGAGGCGGAGCTTGCAGTGAGCCAAGATTGCGCCACTGCACTCCAGCCTGGGCTACAGAGTGAGACTCTGTCAAAAAAAAAAACAACAAAGTACACACACACACACATACACACACACACACACACACACACACAGAAAAAGAAAGAAATTGCCAAAACTGACTCAAAAATAAATAGAAAATCTGATTAGAACTCTACACTAAGTCAGTAATTTTAAAATCTTCTCACAAGGAAATGCCAAAGCCCAGATATCTCCACTGGTGAATTCTATCAAATATTTCAAAAGCTCTTTCAGACAAGAAGAGTGGAGGGAAGACTTTCCAGCTCATTTACGGAACTGGCATTACCCTCATATCAAAGTCACGGCAAGACTCACAGGAAAAGAATACCAGAGACCAGTATCAGCAATAAACACAAATGAAAACATCCTCAACAAACATTGGCAGACAATAAAATGCCACATAAAAAAGGATTACCCTCCATGACCAATGAAATTCATCCCAGGAACATAAGGTTGGATTAACATTGGAAATTCATTAATAGAATGCACCATATTAATGAAATAAAAGACATAACTATCTCAAACGATGCAGAAGAAACAGTTGACAGGTATGTTAATATCACTCATGTTCATAAGTTTCAACAAAATAGGAATGGAGGGGACCTTCCTCACTCCGATAAAGGACATCTATAAAAAACCCACAGCTGGCCGGGCACGGTGGCTCACGCCTGTAAACCCAGCATTTTGGGAGGCTGAGGCAGGCAGATCATGAGGTCAGGAGATCAAGACCATCCTGGCTAACATGCTGAAACCCCGTCTCTACTAAAAATACAAAAAATTAGCCTGGCGTGGTGGCAGGCGCCTGTAGTCCCAGCTACTCGGGAGGCTGAAGCAGAATGGCGTAAG